GAATTTAAATCTCCCATGATTAACGTATTACTCTTTTGTGCAGCCTTAATAATTTGAGATAGTACTTGCTATTTTCCATTAATATTAATGTTTGGGGGCTCGTAACATATTCCTACGGTTAATGGATATCCACTGCTTCCTCCTCTGCATATTCTTACCCACAAGGCTTCCACATCCTCACCTGTATCATGACAAACAATTTCTTAAAACACTTTGCTTCAAATCAGGTTTAATATGAAGACATACTGCGCCCCCTTTTCTATTTTTTTTAATCCTTTCTAAATCATTTCTAAATAATGTATATCCATTTAAATTAATAGTCTAATCTCTGTTTCATCCCGTTAAGTCTCACTAATTCCAGTTATGTCATACTGTTTCTTGGATGCCAGTATCCAAAGTTCCCCCGTGTCGTGCTAAGCTTCTTGCATTAGCAAGCAAACATTTAACGTTACCATTTATTTCTACTTTATTTGGAAAACATCTTACCACTCCCCCATCTCCACCTTCCTTGACTTCAGATGAATTCCCTCTCTTTTGTATACTATCTATCACATGTACCCTTCTTTAACCCTCCCTCCCACCCCATACTCCTAATTTAAAGTCTCCGCCAACCTTCTTGCCGTCCTTTCCCCAAGCACAAAAGACCCTTTTCCACTTAGATGCAATCTACCTCGGCTATAAGAATTGTACCCAAGTAAAACAATCAGCCTAATACTCTTAAAACTTTCCTACACTTTGACTTCAGCCACGCATTGACCTTAAATCTTGCCTTTCTACTGTAGCACTAAGCACAGGTAATATCTAAGAAATAAAAATACCCTTACCCGTGACTCATCATGAATGGTCATCTGCTTTAAGCTGTGATAAAGTTTTAGTTTCTTTTGAGTGCACTCAATTGATCTTTGGCATTATAAAAAAAACATATGTTCTCTTTAATATATGTAAACAGCTATTTTGAGCTATTTCTAGAGAATGTGTTCATTGCTACTGTGTCATTTTGTCTTTTTATTGTTATCTGCTTTTTACTTTTTTACTGTTGTCTCTCATGGAATACAATAGGCAAGACATCTAGCAATATATATTCAACTACTTAAGCTCCTCATAGATTGCAAGCTTGTTAGAGCAGGGCTTTCTTCACCTGTAATTATAAAGTGCTACAGAATAATATTAAGAATAATAATGATTATAATACAAAATTGTAAAGTGCATCTTTCCTCTTATGCCATTAAAACTATTCAATAACATTCCTCTAGCAAAACACAGATCCTAAAATGAACAAGGATATAAAAATGTAATGAAGGTAAGCAGTATAAAAATTATCTGTACAAAAAATGCACCAACCATCTAAATGGTATTTAGGGTACTATTTCATCTGCTCCTGGTGACATTATGGTTTTCTCAAGCTTTTTTCCACACTCACGGGAAGGCTGAAAAATGACTATATAGAAATTGCTGGGATGAGTTGGATTCTACTTTATTGGGACATGTTGTGTGATGTGCCAGACATTAATGTAAAAATTAGAGCAGTTGTGCTCATCTGTACACATTAAATTGCAGTATTATTGCAAGAAATAAATGTATGGCTATGGTGTTATGCTGGGTTATTATGTGAATTTGTCATGCTCCTCATCTAGCAACATTTAATGCAGCTCAATGTCCACGTAGTTTACTCTTCTGGCAAACTTCAAGTTTGTTCCAGTGAGAAGATCTACCTTGGTTCTTTTGTATCTAATGGAACCATTATCAAGTGAGGTTTCTTTTGAACTAAATGCTCAGATTACTAAGTCAATTGGTCAAGAGGCTCCATCATGAAAGAAGCTTATCTAACATGAACAGTGGTTGTTCTTTCATTAGTTCACGTAGGTTTGTCAGAATGACCACTGAGACACACTATTTAATGTGCTCTAATTTGTCAAGAATGTGGAACACCAGTATGTGAATAGTTGGCATGAAGAATTATACAGAGGCATGTGATGCCACTAATTGCCTGCTAATAGCTGTTAGTTGCCACTGACTACCTAGAAGCAAAACCAGATATATGTATTCAACACAAAATGGGCAGTATAACACTTTTACATTTGTTTCCTTGAATTACTTTTATTATGCCATTTGTGGTATCACTTTGTAATTCTGTTTTGCCTCCTAATAATTTACACGGTAAGCGTGTCTATGATGAATACAGATCTTCTTGGAAGTCTATAACGCATTAGTTGTGTATAATATTTGGATGGACCTAATATACTACATAGCCTAGTGGGCAAAGGAACCATCAATCTCTTATAAAAGATCTATAGGGCTCCCTTGTAAGCTTAATTTAGATGCTGTTTTGTTTGATCAACTGCTGATTGGGATGAGAATTATATATATATATATATATATATATATATCTCAGAATAACTAATCCTGAGACTCGTACCAGTGGAATGTACTTTGGGTACACACAAGGTACATCAGCATTTGTTAGACACTGTGTTAGTTTCTCCTAAGGATAAATATGTTGAGCATCTTGTTTGGCTCGATCAGAACACAGTACTTGTGATTGTCAGCAAGTAAGGAGCAGCATGCTACATGTTTTTAGATGTTTAATGTTGTTCAGCATCAGTGAACAAATTCTGGACAGAAGGAGTTGAAAAGAAGAGGGCATCCATTTATTTTAGAGACGGGATCGTCCATAAACCATGTGGAGAGAAATCTAAGCTTTAGGTAGATATAGGTAGGATATGTATATTATATGGGAACATGTAAACATAAACATATATATAAAAAAAAATTCTAGATCGCTTACATCTGCCTCATACAAAACGACTTCCAGAAATATATAATAATTGTCGACTACCACCCCAAAATTAGATGTCAATCAAGCCACTATGTATGGCACATATCACTTTGGGGTGGCTACAGAGCCGTGTTTGAAAAGGACTGTAGCACCTATCCAGCATTTGCAGATCTGTATAAAATTTCCAGGAGAAACCCTATGGTAGAATATTTCTCTACCTCTATATCTATCCCATATTAAAGTTCAGATTTACCTGTTAAATGCATGCAGGCACATTTTGTCTAGAACTAGTAACCACGTCCTTAAATAAAACACTATAAAGTGTTTTAGAACAACAATGCAGTTATAACAAAAATACATTTACTATTAAATATTTCAATGGTTAAATAGATACCTCTACTGTAGACAATGATTCTAAATATATACCTCTGCATTACAAATAAATACCATAATAGTCATAATAGCTTTCAAAAGCCCTAGCTTCAAAGTCACTCATCATAAAACATGGACTACATCAAAGTAATATTTTACATCAAGAATGCAGTGTGTAAAGACATTCATGTAGGGAACATAATATGTGAATACATCTGGATATCTTTATGGGGGACAGTCTATAGGACTAGCTATATATAGTTAAGAAAATATTTAAAAAATCAAAATACAAAAAAATGGGCTGACTTAAATTAGTGGGACATGTTTTATAATAACATCTATTCAGGGTTTTAATAACTACCGTAACATCTGGAGAATTGCATACTTTATTGATGCTTTTCATATTTCTACATTGTGAAATCAGTAATGGACAGTGCAAGGCTGCAGTTAATGTGTTATGCAGCAAAAAGATAAAAGTGAAACATCTGCTGGCAATAAATATTCATAGCACGGTCAAGTGAAGTTAAGAGAAATCTAATTGTGGTATCAATGCATTAACTCAGGTAAAATGAACTACACCGGAATAAATCCATATTTGTTTGATTATCACAGTCGAGTGGCTGTATGTTTTAATCACTGTACTTGTATTTAAGCAGCTGGTGAGCAGAGAAGAGCCAAAATGTTTCTCCCACTGAGAAATTAGTTTAAGTTATTAACCTAAGGCACACATGTTGGGAAGGATAGGTGCACAGAATAATCCTTTTCAGATCTTGCTAGCGGATAACTTTGTGTAATAATAACTCAGTATAATGCAAGCAATACCATAGTCCTTACAACTTCAAAGCATTATGGATGAGATGTCTAATTACCGATAAAGACAGTTAATTTGTATTTCAACTGTATTTGTCTGTGGCTCTGAACATGCTCAGTATGATCCAGATATATTTGGTGGTAGATGTGATGTAGAGTAAAACCGTGTGTATATATATATATATATAAAAAAAGTTATGATGGGGAAAAATTGTGATTGAAAACCCCTTCCACCTGAAGTCTGTGGATATTTAATACAATGTTAAACAAAAATCTGCACACCAGTCAAGCCATAAGACTTGCTTTTCACACAGAAATCCCATAACTGCAGCGATGTTACAACCGCAAAGGATTCTGGGTGGGCATATGCAAATTAGTTTAACAAAGAATCACATTTTTGCCTTATTCCATTTTAAACATGTATTACTTTTAATCTATGTTTGCTGTATATAACAGCTTGAAACACAATATAGGAAAAGATGCAAAACCAGTGAACCACTCATGGACAGCTGTTTAGTTGTTAATGCAACTCGTCAGCATGAGGTTGGTTACTGGTTTGCTTATATATATATATATATATATATATATATAGGCAGTTTGGGGAATTTTTGCAGATATTGGTATCTTCTAATCTAGTCAAACACACATTTTGGTCAGGTTTTTAGAAATAAAGCTGGGAACATTTGGAATGTTAGTTAGCCAACTAAAATACATCAAGAGAATATTTTGTTTAATAAAAAACCAACTAATTTAAGCGAATCAGGTTTCTCACATTCAGTCATTGAGACCTACGCTCTTTAATTATGGTCTTTTAGCTAAATTAATTTCTTGCTTGGCTCTTGTATAGTACAGTGACCATGGTCAATAGTATTTAATGCCAATTCTGACTATTTTACACCAAGATTGTGTAAAAGAGACTCCAAAAATACCACAGAATAGTGATGTCCCGAACTGTTCGCCGAACAGTTCGTGAACGGTTTGCCACGAACGGTTCGCCACGGACTCATCATTGAGTAAACTTTGACCCTGTACCTCACAGTCAGCAGACACATTCCAGCCAATCAGCAGCAGACCCTCCCTCCCAGACCCTCCCTCCTCCTGGACAGCATCCATTGTGAAGCTGCATTCTTAGTGAGCTGTAGTGAGGAGGTGGGAGGGTCTGGGAGGGAGGGTCTGCTGCTGATTGGCTGGAATGTGTCTGCTGACTGTGAGGTACAGGGTCAAAGTTTACTCAATGATGAGTCCGCGGCGAACAGTTCGGGACATCACTACCACAGAATATTCAATAAGAAGAAATATCTGGCATTTTTCATGACTTGGTAAATCTACCTCATAAATGTTCTTGTAACTGACTATGAAGCAAGCAGGACTTTTATTTCTTTGTTAAACAGGAAACGTAAACAAGTGTATTGGCAGAGAGATGCAAGCCAAAGGAAAAACCACAAGTCTGGTTAAACAAGAAACTTGCTTTTGCTAGGAATTTTCAGGACTAAAAATGCAATTGTGCTTGAAGTGTGCTTTTCAAAGGAAAAACAAGATTCAAGAGTAACCAAACATCTGGAAGATTTAAGGATTTTTTGATTATTCATTACCTCAGCAACACCAACAGACATTTAAGGAGAACCTCGCAGTGACTTATTTCCTGTAACTTCTAAAACCATCATAAAGAAATGAATGGAAAAGAAGGGAAAGTGTTATTTGGATCGCAATTGGGAAAACTGCATTGGCAGTCAAGTCATGTTTTATAAAGACGCCTCTTATTATATTTGTAAGAACTGCATTCACATAACATATATATAATAGTGTTGCATTACTAGAAGTTAAAATTTTAATATAGGAAATACTTCCCTACAATAGTTCAGCAAATCAGAAGCTAGATGGGTTACTTTAACCCATTGCTGAGGGGGACTGTCTTGTGTAGTATGCGCTATTGAGCACTTTGAGCACTTAAGACGGTAAATCCCTCGCCCTCCCCATTTGCAGTAAAAGCTGTACAAAAAGGTTTTTACTCACCTTGAAAATAACACCAGGCAAAGCTCCAGAGGCTGATTCTTCACGCCCCGTTTATCACAGAGGCAACGCGCAGCCTGTGATTGTATTGTGTATGTAAGGAGGAGTGTATAAACTATGAATCTGAAGTATAAAAGTCACAAAATGAAAATATAGTACACACATAATAGTTACACAAAGAGGACACTGACACACACATACAACCATTTGAACACAGAGAACACTGACACACACACACACACTGTTACACACAGAGGACACTGACACATACAGTCACACACAGAGGACATTGGCACACACACTGTTACACACAGAGGACACTGACACATACAGTCACACACAGAGGACATTGACACACACACAAACATTTACACACAGTAGACACTGATATACACATTTACACACAAAGGAAACTGACACACACACAAATGTACACATAGAGGACACTGACACAAACTCACTGACAAACACACTCTCACTGACAGACACACTCACTGATTTGACAAACACTGACAGGCACACACATTCACTGTACCGATTAAGGAACAGTGCACACATAAAAATACCATTTTACAGTATATAAGGCTATTTAAAATCCCCTATCACAACAATTAAACATGGGGTTTCAATATAGGTGGGTCCTACACTAGTTCCAATGTGGGGGACACATTTTTTAATTGAGCAAGTGCTAAATGAGCTAAAGTGTTTTTAAAATCTGTTATGAGATCAATCTGTATATTGTATAAATTTTGGTCTCTACAGCAGCATCATTGATGATAAATGCATGTTCCTGGTGTGCCCCCAATTCCCTTTTTCTCTTTACACACACATTCACTGACAGACACACAGATTCACTGACACACACACACATTCTTTCACACACTCACAAAATATTGTCTTTTTATTATTTATTATTAAGTCCACCCAGCCCACCTTTCTTTGGGAAAGCTGCAGTGGATCCTTTGCCTGTGGTCTAGTGTGGCTGCTGTCATCATCATCATCTTCTTGCTCTGCTCCTTCGCACGCTGTTTAGTGATGCCAAGATTGGAGTGACATCACCGCAGGGTACGAGGGAGCAGTGCTGGAACAGCACAGACATCAGCACTCCCTCGCCGCCGTCCTTCATTCTCCCCTGTGGACACAGCACATTTGGGAAGGGTAGGCACTTGCCATTTTGGTAAGCATGTGCCTTTTCTGACTTAGCACACAGCTGGTCGTCTCCTGACATAAGCTATGTTTGTTATGTGCATACCTGCTGGAGCACGGTTTGAGAACCTATGTCTTATGGAATATTAGAGTAACAAAGCACTCTGCAAGACATTCTTCTTATGCTTAATTATTTTTAAGTTCTAAAGAGGAGAAATCAACATTGTTATCTCCCAGGAGATTTACCCACTGCTAGAATGTTTCCTCAGAATTGCACATGAATCATACATAACTCCCTTTGCATGCGTTGAGGCAGCAAGCAAAAAAACTAGTTGGATATGATGGCAGATACAATAGTACCATTTTTAATGACCTTAGAGCCATCTCCTTAGTGTCAAAAGTTGGTTTAATGTCTTGAGATGGTGGAGCTTATCTTAAGACTTGAGAGGGACATGCATTAAATGGCAGTGTTAACGATAACAATTGATTGGGTGGTCAGATATGTGCATTATATAGGTAAAAGTTGACAACACATTTCCAAGTGTATGCAATTGTTCTAGTATAAAACTATAATCTCAGAAGACTGTCAATTTCTTTATTATAGTGGTGTCTGTTAGAAATCTTATTTTGCTACTTGCTCCAAATCCTTAGTCCTTGTTTGATCCTCATATTTCTATTTTTTAAGATTGCCTTCTTGCAAATAACATAGGAATGCTCCATAGCACAAATAAGCTAAAGCTATTCAACCAATCAATCACTATTTCAGTATAGACGTATTGCCTTTAGAAAATGACCTTATGGTCACCCGTTATTTTCATTTGAGCTAGCTCAATCATAGAGGTGAGTGACTTTTAAATGATAGGCGAGGGAGCTGTGCTAGAAAGTTCAGGGCCTTGAGACAGCAGACGCTACTTCCTAAATCAGACAAACCCAATAAAGAAAGCACAGAGCCCTGATCTATACTGAAATACATTTAATGCTATAGTAAAACCTTAATAATTAAAGGAGGTAATAGTGGGGGTAAAAAAAATGTATACGGTTTTATCTACAGATATATATAGTTACATAGTTACATAGCTGAAAATAAACTTGTGTCCATTAAGGTCAGCCTTCCTCACACTCACAGTTTTTTGCTGTTGATCCAAAAGAAGGCAAAAAAAGACTCCAGAATGGCAGTCAGAGTTATCCTTGGATCAAGCAGTTATTACCCTGCATTGAAAAATTATATCCTTGAATATTCTGTTTTGCAAGTATGCATCTACACCCTGTTCCAAATTATTATGCAAATGATATTTCTCTCATTTACCTAAATAATTGATGTAAATAACAGTCAGCATAATTCTCATGTTATCAACTATTAAGAGTACAATTCAAATTTTATTGAACAAACCTCCTAATGATAACCGTATTTCTCTTAAACATAAAAAACTTACAATACACTGTTCCAAATTATTACGTACAGTAAGGTTCAAAACACTTTATAGGTTGTAAAGAACTGACAATTGTCATTTGTTGTGTTTGCAGCATATTTACTGAAATCAAAAGCTATTTCAATCTAACTTATAACAACATTTTAACTTTTTAAACATTTTATTTTATTTGATAGCAGCTTCACAAATCTTGCATCCATTGAACTTGTGAGTTTTTGGACAATTTCTGCTTGAATTTGTTTGTAAGATGTCAGAATAGCCTCCCAGAGCTGCTGTTTGGATGTAAACCCACCCTCATAGATCTTTTGCTTGAGGATGCTCCAAAGGTTCTCAATAGGATTGAGGTCAGGGGAGGATGGAGGCCACACCATGACTTTCTCTCCTTTTATCCCCATAGCAGCCATTGATGCAGAGGTATTCTTTGCAGCATGAGATGGTGCAGTGTCAATGCATTAAGATGATTTTATTATGGAAAGCATAGTTCTTCCTTCTGTACGAGGGAAGAAAGTGGTCAGTCAAAAACTCCACATACTTTGCAGAGGTCATCTTTACACCTAAAGGGACCGACAAGCTCTCTTCCCATGATTCCGGCCCAAAACATGACTCCACCACCTCCTTGCTGACGTTGCAGCCTTGTTGGAACAGGGTGGCCGTCCACCAACCATCCACTACTCCATCCATCTTGACCATCCACGGTTGCACGGCACTCATCAGTGAACAGGACTGTTTGAAAATTAGTCTTCATGTATTTTTTTGCCCTGCCCAATGCAACCGTTTCTGCTTGTGAGCATTGGTTAGTGGTGGCTGAATAGAAGGTTTATGTACAGTTGCAAGACTCTGTAGGACTCTACACCTTGATGTCCGCGGGACTCCAGAGGCACCAGCAGCTTCAAATATCTGTTTGCTGCCATGTAATGGTATTTTAGCAGCTGCTCTCTTGATCCGATGCATGGATCTGGCAAAATTCTTCCTCAATGTGCCTTTATCTGCACGAACCCGTCTGTGCTCTGAATCAGCCACAAATCTCTTAATAGTGCGATGATCGTGCTTAAGTTTTCGTAAAATATCTAATGTTTTCATACCTCGTCCAAGGCATTGAACTTTTTCACTCTTTTCTGCAGCAGAGAGATCCTTTTTCTTCCCCATATTGCATGAAAATGGTGCTCTGCTTAATAATGTGGAACACACTCCTTTAGTAGTTTTTCCTTTAATTGGGCTCACCTGGCAATCTAATTATCACTGGTGTCCGAGATTGTTTTCAGTGATCAAAAGAGACACAATGCCATCCATGAGTTAAACTGAAAAACGAAATATTTAATCTTTGTGACACTTAAATAGAATTTACATAATAATTTGGAACAGGGTGTAGTTGCTGTTTGAACATCTGTATGGACTCTGATAAAACCACTTCTTCAGGCAGAGAATTCCACAATTTCCTTTGCCTTAGACAAAATCTTCTTTCTTCCAGTCTAAACGCATGACCTTGTGTCCTATGTAAAGTCCGGTTTGTGAATAGATTTCCACACAATGGTTTGTATTGGCCCCAAATATATTTGTATAATGTTATCATATCCCCTCTCAGGCAATGTTTTTCCAAACTAAAGAGGCTTAAATT